AGGTTCTTTTGAATTTAGGTGTTCTTGATTGAGATTTTAATAGATTTTAATGAAATTCATTAAAATTTAGGTGTTTTTTAATAAAATTTAATGAAATCATTTAAAATCTAAGTGTCTTCAATAATTAGTGAATTTATAAGGATTTTGATAATAGATGAATAAAATTTTTGGATGGTTTTAAGTTTAAAAATACATAAAATAAAATCTTTTGAAATTTTGTCATTTTTATGAGATTATGAAGGAATTTGCAGAAATTTATTTAAATCCACGAAATCTATTAGAACTTATAATTTTTTAAAATGTATCAAAATTTTAGTTGAGGAACCTCTCTTTTGGTTTAATTAAAATTAAAATTTTAATTATATCATGTCTAGAATTAAATACATTGCCTTCTATTACGTTCTTGTAATTTAGATATTGGACATAAATTCTTCTTTGAAGTAATGTTATTTTATTTGTCTTCACTATTAAGAAATAGAGTTTTAGAAAAATGTGATTTGGATAAATTGTGCTTATAAGTAGTAACTGAGAAATTAAATTAATATTTTTAGATTCAATTGAAAAAAAAAAAGTTTCATATTGCATATATTTTTAATTATTTTAACAATTTGAATTAGTGTTAAGATAAAACGATTTCTCAACTTACATGTATAAGCTGGCCGATTCAGTTTATTGGTCGACCCTTTTTCATATACTTTTTAAGTTAATTTCGTTATATGATATAATTTACCGAAATAAGTAAATTTTATATAAAAATTGAAAAAAAAATATTCGTCAAATAACTGAAATATGAAAGTTTACTTATTAATAACCAATTGCTAAGTCCACTCTGAGAATTTTTATCGAAAATTGATGGTGGAAATGATATATTTCTTTGAATAATCATAAATATCTATAGTAAAGGTACATGTAATAAAGGAATTAAGCGATATTGGTTGTGAAAGGCACAAAAAAAAAAATAATAATAATAAAATAAACTAGGTGTGAGCATCTAATTTGTAATAATCCAATGAACATTGACTTGGGTTTCTTGATTTCTTATTTTGGGAAGCAATTTCATAATTTTAATCATTTGAATTATTTTGGGAAGCAATTTCATATTTTTAAAAAATGTAATTTTTTTTTAATCAATTCGAAGGTTAAACACGTCACAACTACTAAGCATTTTGTTGCTAATTGTGATCATAATATATCTCTTTTTCTACTTTCTTAAAATAAATATTCTAAATTAATATGCTCAAAATTACAAATGGCCATCAGATCCACTAATAATTATGACCATCAATCACTCAATTTCAAGATAAATTAATCTAAATATGAATATGAATCATACAATGATTCAATCTTAACTGAATTTTTAACATTTTTACATCAAATTCAACCCAAAAAACGAAAAAGAAAAACACAAATTTTAATCTGACTATTAAGATGGAAAATTTATATTAAAATGCCTTCTCCATCTTAAGTGTTATAAAAGATTATGACAATCTTTTTGGATAAATAAATATTTAAGCGTTGGGTGAAATAGAAAAAAATAATTATAAAGATATTTATAGTCTAACCGAATTATTAATTACACATAGATTTATCGGAAATTTGCAAAATGTTAAATCTTAGAGTAATGCTATTCATAGTGAAGATTGTCGGTAGTTGTCATATATGACATACACTTGGCAATTTGATATTTGATACATAGATATGGTAGTTATTTTTTAAATTATACATCAAATGAAAAACTGCCAACTGCCATGTGTACGTCACATAGGTTGACTGTCGGTAGTTTTCACTGCGAATAGCATTATTCTAAATCTTACGTCAACATTTACTAGATCATGAAAGAAGTCCTCGATCCTTATCCATTTAAGCACAAAATTTACCTACGCATTCCATGGTCGGAGCAACCAACTTGGTCGGTTAAGTTAAGGAATCAAAGTTTGTGTGCTGTAGGTCCATGGTGTGGAAACACACAGGTTTTTCACATGATTGTCCTTTTCGAAAGACGTACAGTCAAAGCGCCGCCGCCGAATGGTAGCAGTTTATTATGTTGCATTGACACCATAACAGCCACTCCCACGGCGGAAGAATGAATAATGTAAACCCCGCGTTGACTCGGATATATCCACTCTGGATATATAATTATCAATGAGACCTTTTCAAACATAGGATAGTCACAGAGATCCTACGGCTGCTGACACTTCTAATAAAATCAGTGGTGGGTATATATTGATACATTGCATCTGAATGGAAATGAAACGACAACGGAGAGTTATTTTAGAAATGATAATGTTATTTTAGAAATATTTAGTAAGATGAAAGTCTTCAAAATGGGTATATTGACCTACGGCAACAAGTAAAGATTAATCAAGTGTAACCTCTTTTGTTGTTGTATTTAATCTGATTTCTATCTATTTTATTAAAGTTTCATAGCCATGGTTGCATTTAAGTTGTTCTTATTGGGGATTGGTTTGTACTTGTAGGGCGAGTTGACTTTTCTTTTTGTTTTTATAATTTTTAGCCCCGGTTTAGGCTTCATTAAAAATTTTGATGCATTTTTCACTTTCGACTTTTCAACCACATTTTT